AGTAAGTAGTGTGTTTGCCCCCCTCTCCCTCTATATCTCACACACAGAGACAGAGACAGACACACGAGCACACATTTTTGGACTTGAGTTTTAATTGTTTAAATCTTTGGTCTTGTGGGAAGAAAAGACTAATTTTTCGTTTTGCTGAATTTTTCTAATGAAGTTATTCATGTTGTCCAACAAATTTTTTTTAATTGATTTTGTTATAGTTCACTTATTTGATTGATCTTTTCTAAACCTTATCTGAAAGATGATTTGGTTCCAGGACTTTTAGTTTCATTTAGCTTTAGATTATTATGTTGTATTTAGCCTTTTGATTTTAGGAATATATGAGTGTGGACTCTTGATTAGAGTGACTTGATTTAAGAGTGCAAGACCCATAAAGATTAAGTGGAAAGAATGGTGTGCTCGTATGTATGTGATTTGCCAAATGTCGTCGAATTACAGTACTTCAAATATAAAATCAAATGCTGATTTTCCACTCTAGATCTCATCTGGTTTTCCATATGAAACTTTTAGCATCTTGTTTTTTGTAATTTTTTTTTCCCCTTGGTGGTTAGATATAGAGTATAGTATTATGATTGGTTTTTTGCATTTTAACTCTAAATGTTTAAAGCTGCAATAAAAAATAAATAAATAAATAAATAAACCTTTAAGCATCTTATACAGGATTCTCCAGCATAATCTGTTTTTACTCTCGGTCGTAAATTGAACACCTTTTTCTTTTTTGATATTCAAGGTTAATGTTGGTTTTCCTGGAATGAGCTCTTCTGTAAAAATTATTTTTGAGGCCAATTTGATATTTATTTTTACACATCTTTAAAGTTAAGAGGCATGATCCATCATTTCGCATTATTCCAGATCTTATTAGTTTGAATGAGCCTACTAAGTAGTTGTTAGTTGATCGAAACTTTGCTTTCTTATCTAACTAGACACAGTAGGATGATTAACTGGAATAAGCTCTCATAATCACTAAACAAAAAGTAGAGCCTAATGACTGGTTCCAGACAGTTCTATCTCATCTACTCTGAAAATTATTTTGTTTTAATGCTATATTTTTCATATCAATGTGATCTGTATTCTGTACTTGCTTTTGCAGTAACAGCCAACTTCGCCAATTCGGTTTATCATGCACATTAGACTTTTCAAAATTCTATTCCCATTTGATGTCATACTATAGAACGATGAAAACAAAGATCAAGATGAATATTATACTTTAGTTTATAGATGGAGCAAATCTGCCATTGACTTTATGTTAGGTGCAGTTTTCTGTTTATTTTTAATTAAAAGCAAATCATCTTTGACTATATTTATTAAAGGACGGAGCTACTTAGCCACAGTGGGTGACATCGGGGTTGACACAACACACACACATGGGGGTCAGGATTATTTTATTCAGGCGGGACCCACCTCGGCATGTGAGGGCGTAATGTTCATTTGGCATTTTCCTTTATTAAATATGAGATGGATATCCTATTAGATATATAATATGAAGACTTTCCACAGAATATATCATATTAGATATATACTGTATTTTCATCTTACTTTGGCGCCTCAGGATCAAGTAACATTGGTCTCTGAGGAACCTTTGATAGGTATTACTAGTCAATCTGCCCAAGTTCAGGCACGTAATCAGAGACAGTTACCTGATGGTCCAGCGAAGTTGGAGTCATCACCAACTTATACACTGTCCATTTCATTTACTTTACAACAATGCTATGCTGACAGAATTTCTTTGACATAATGGATGACCAACACTCACATTGCGCGGGGACCCACTTCTTTTTTGGACTTTTTTATTCACGCGGGGTCCACACGCTGTGAGATGATGTCAACCATTATGTTAAAAAAATTCTGGTAAAGTAGTTTAATTGTTTATTTTAAGTCCAACTTTACCGGAACAAAAATTATCACAAGAAGATGATGGAAGAAGCCCTTATCTGGTGGAACAGGAGAAGGAGAATCATTTGGACCCAAAACCTTTGGCTTCTGTTCCTATGCTGAAGACAACTTCTGATGGGTACAACTGGCGGAAGTATGGTCAAAAGCAAGTGAAGAGTCCTGAAGGTTCTTGGAGCTATTACAGATGCACTTTCTCTGACTGCGATGCTAGGAAGATTGAGTGCTGCAATCGATCTAACCATGTCATAGAGACCATTTGCAGAATTCACCACAATCATGATCCTCCCCAAAAAGTAAACTTCTCTAAGGAAAGGCCTGAACTGTCAGTCGAGCCAGCTAATGGGAGCAACAATATAGCTCTTGCAGGCAGGGGCGGAGCCAGGATTTATGTCCAGCGCGGGCATCATTTTTCGATGCCGAATTTCGAGATTTTGGTCATAGATTTAATGATGATAAAAAAATAAAACAATATTACAACAACACCAAAAACGACATAATTTATATATTAAATTTGTTCCTTGCGAGTTTTCATAATTTGATATCGTCATACAATAACTTCATTATCGAGCTTCAAAAATATATCTCTCTCTACATAAACAATAGTGCTATCATTCATCCACTGATCACCCATCCGATTGCGCAATCTATTCTTTACGATGCTCATTGCAGAAAAAACTCTCTCCACAGTAGCGATAGCAACCGGTAAAATCAATGCTAAAGTCAAAAGTCTGTAAATCAATGGATATACCTTATCTTTCTTTGTCAAAACTAACTTCTCCACAAGATCATCAAGGCCATTCAACCCTTCAAACTCTTTGTTAGAGCGCA